CGATGATTTAAAGTAATGATTCGGCAACTGATAGATCGATTAACAGGGCAATCCGGGAGGATAGGCGAAAGAGTAGGATTTGAGGCTAATTAATCATCCGAATACTTGTTGCTTGTTATTTAATCAAATTAAGTTCGGTTTTAATGATCTGTTGAAAATTTGCAGCATTGCTTGAAATAATTTTATTTCTGCTACCAGAAAATTTTATTTTATTTTTTAATGAAAATTTTCCACCGTATCTCTCTTTTTAGTATTTTTCCACCGTATCTCTCTTTTTAGTATTTTTCCACTATATTTCTCTTTTTTTTAGTACCAAGACTTGGCCAATCGGAGCTGTATGTTGGAATGCTAACAAACTACTAATTATAACATTAAATATGAAACAATTTTATGCTTAGTTTTTTCACTTATTTATAATTGCTTAATATAAAATTTTAAAATTTCATGTTAGCATAGCATGTTACATAATATAAATCTCGAAGATATGTTTTAATTTTTGTGGTAATCCGTGTAACAATTTTTTTGAAAATGATAAGAAATTAATTTGTATGTTTCAATTCACCTCATTCGATGGTTTCATTTATTGAAGGTATCTCAAATATTTTTTAATGGTATTATTGCTAACATTGATGTAAGTGTATGTGAAGCATAGTGAGACAGTTTATTTCGTTTATCGTTGCATGCAAAACTGTGTTTTGATATGGTTTCATAATATTTGACGGGGCCATAAGATTGGTTGTTGCCACGTGGGGGGGATGGGGGGGAGGGTGACTGTGGTGAGTGGTAAATGCGTAAGTTGGTGATTTGATCTGAAACTTCCAAGGAATGGTTTAATTTTAGGGATGATAATATTAATTGAAGCGTTGAAGCATATGAAGACAACAGATGGCAGTCATTTGTATGCTTCAATTCACCTTATTCGATGGTTTCGAATAGTTTGTTAGAAAGATTAAAAATTATGGCATAATACGACATGGAATTAAGTGAGAAGTAAGAATAACATTGGAATATAGCTTTGAAAAAGAATTCTTGAATAGTTGTAGGCATTAAAATTGAAACGAGAAGGGTATGTGAATGTATGATGAATGCTGTAGAGAAGACATAGTAATGGAATCTGAATTTATTTTATTGTTTTTTGATATTAATCTGAAACTTACAATCTACTGGAGTATGTTGTTTCCCATTGTTTTTTTGTTTAAATATTGGTTAACGTGTAACTAATTTACTAAGTGTAAGCTCGTTTCATTGTATATTTAGTTTTTTCTTTGCGGATATTTCTATATGCCATATTGGATGAGATCCAAAGGCTTTTGCCTTTACTATCAGTTGAACTACGCAAGCCTTTAGAGTTGGTTAATAATTTGTAAGTTTTCGGTTATAATTTGGGCTGAGAAGTTACAAAATTTTATCTGAAGAAATGATAAAGCGTCCTTCGAGTTTTAACTGTCTTTCGGTGATTGAGTTTTGATAAAACATGAAATTTTGGTTTATCGTCAGTAAATTCTATTTTGTAGACTATACAATATGTATAATGGTATTGGATTACAAACAGCTCGTGGATCGGGCACGAATGGATATGTGCAGGCTAATTTGGCGAATTTATTACTCTCAAAGGTCTCATTTTAAAAAAAAATTTTTTTGCAACTGGTAAGATAGTATCATTTTATTATAAATAAGGTGTCTCTATTGATGCTGTGCTTGATTTTTGCCCTAAATATGACTGGGAAAATTTCTAAACTCTTTCTCTTTTTACTTCGTCTTCATTTTCATCCACTTACAAACTAACCTGCCGCTCGACAGAGATAAAGAGTCATGGACAGTGAAAGATTGAAAACAAAAAACTGAATAATTCTTTGTTAAAGTCAGCAAGTTTGATAATCATGTAAGTTTTATTCAATTAACAAATATTTCACTTCAGAAACGAGTAGCGTATAATTCAGAAGTTGATATAAAACGAGCCGAAGCTGAAATCAACAAACAACCGAATAAAGAACTATTGGAGCATAATCGCAAACGGCATATCGAATTGAAATGTACTGATTTTGAAATGCTCATGGAAAACAAAGTAAGTTTATGTTAAATAATGAGAGTTTGAGGAGTTTTACAAAACATTGGACCCAGATATTCTCTTATTTAAGAATTTGTTCAAGTAAATTTTTAATTTTTCATGTTGTTTTATAATGAAAATTGATATCAATCCTAAATACTTGCTATGGTTTAGCATAGACAACATAATCCATAATGAGGCATATCTCCAAAACAAGCTGAAAAAAGAT